AAAATATTGTTGTGATATGTCAAATCAGAGTTAAAGTACCATTATATGTTGAAAAATCAAACAGGACGTGTAAATACAACACAAACTAGTTTAAATGTTAAACTAATTAGCCTACAGCTTAACCTGTGCAAACTGATGTAGTCCAAATCTGTGTCATTTACTGGGAGAGAGTGAAGTAATGAAGAATGACGTCTGATGTGCCGGCATGCAGAGAAGACTGGGGCTACAAAGTGTAGTTTAATAAAAGTAGTTACAGAGTAGTTACAAGACAGCCTGCCTTTGTCTTCAGCACACTTCCTCGGGCTGCATGCCTTCTCCTCATTCACTCTCTCCACTCTTTCACTTCTTCTCTGTTGAGCAAGCCAAAGCGTAGCATCCATGCCTGGACCAGACAGGCCAAGCCTCTCACTCAGCCAAACCAACAGGAGACCCTCTGCTCCACAGTGTCCCTGCCAGCTTGTCTGAGTCTAATCATCCACGGGATCCAGGTTGTTTCAGGGCTAGTTTCCCTACAAGAATAATCACACACACACGCCAGTTGGGTCTGCGGACCTCCAGCATCGTTGGAGACGTCTTTCTGCCCACCAACTGTCCGCCGTTACCAAGACGGCGATGTGAGTCAAAAGGAAGTGGACTCAGCCGAAACCAGCCAGCTGGACGAAGCAGCAAACGCGGAGGTGGGGGTGGACTGCAAGGAGGAGTGAGGTCCAACAGAGAGAGTCCATTTGGACGAGCTGATAGCATTCGCAGCCACAGTTTAAATTTGATTTCATTTGTGTTGTTTTCATTTGGACTGGCATCTCCTCATCCAAATCTTACTGGGACACAGTATCATGGTTTTATAGCCCATAAAGCAGTACATTCCCTCCTATGAAACATTTTACTTGGCTGACTTCAAAGCAAATCCATCTTTATTTATATAGTTTGTAAAGATTTAAGGAAATCCAAAAATGAGCTCAGTGTTTACTCATTTCAGATGCCTTCAAAGGACACGAATGCTGAAACTCAGTTAGATGTTGAAATAGACACAG